TTTATTATAATTTTTTTAATATATTATATTATTTTTTAATACATGTAAAAAGATGTATGAAAACTAATGTTTTGTTTATAGTTCGGTCGGTTATCTGATTTTCAACCATATTGAAATAATCGAAACTTTAAAAGTAAAATCCGATAATCGGACTGGCATATAAAGAACCGGACCAAAACTTTTATTGTTGTTGGTTTTTGTTGTTTTCTCGATTTTGATCGAACTTTACACACCCATATCTGCGCTACATAATGCATCATATTGATAAATTAATCACGTACTAATACGTATAAAAAATACACAATATTGTATCAATTTTTATTAAATTGTTTCACCCAGGGTCAATGCGCGGAATATACGCAAATGTGCGTCATTACATGCATAAATATACAATCCATCTAATGTTATCGCGTATTGTTATTGTGCAGTTATTGTCTAACAATATTGTACATTCTAACAAGTTTACGAAAATGGCATCGCGCTTAGTGTTTTTAATTGACCGAACTGATCGACCGAAGTAACCGCGTTGAACTTTGGAAAAAAAACTAAACTGATGGATCTTTTGTCCCAAAATGAAACTAAATCCGAATCGAAAATGATCGGGGTTTATTCAGGCAAATAACTAAATTATATATATATATATATATAATGTAAAAGATAATATTGATTAATTAGTTCGATTGATTCGTATATTTTGGTTATTTCTAAAAGAAAGCCGATGTCGAACCAAAATAACTGAAAATTTAAATGTGAAAAAATCAAATTATATGTGTAATTTTTACTTCACAAGTTTAATCATTTGCGAGATTATCGTGCATATTCTATAAGTGTGCATCACACAACACAGACATTTTTTTAATTCCCAAGTTTAATTATTTGCGCTACGTGCAATCTAACATACATTATTGTGTATATTCTATAACACTGATGTGCATCCCATATCATAGATATTTTTTTTAAATGTGTATATACACAAACCACATAGTGCATTTTTCTTATTATGAGTCTATTTATGTGTATCCATCATATTTTTTTATAAATTACATATTCAACTCAAGTATGAATTGAATTAACCTAATTCTCAAAACTAAGCCCCGATGATAAAAAAAAAAAATTAAAATTACAAAAATTGCATATAGATCCCTTGAATTGATCTAATTCTCAAAACTAATCCCCTAGGCTACAAACTTAGATACTGTTCAGGCCACTCTCTCGTCATCGCCGTTTCGACCGCTGGAGAGTCGCCGACCGAATCCACCATGTGGCCGCCGTTTAGCCGTCAAATCATCGTAGAAAGAAAAACGGTGTCCGCCATGGATGTGGATGAGTTGACCGTGTCTGTCCCGTCCAACCACCGTGAATGTTCGTCTTCCGACTACCTGACCACTGCGAGTTTCTCAGACTATGGCATTTGATGAACTTGAGGAGATGGGCCTGAAATACATAGGTGATTAGAACTAGGACAAGTGGGATATTGTTAGAGTATAATACTCGTCATTCCAATCGTATTGGATCTTTTTCTACTTGTAAAGACAATTTCTTGAAAATTTTATCATTTTAAGGCATTGCTTTATCTTGTGTTTTTCCATTTACCACATATTTTCACATATGTAAAGTCCTTAGATCATTATTAACTATGAGACATGGTTTCGCATTTGGCAATGATGAAACATGTCTTTAAAGCTATGATCTTAAATAAGTTTAAAGTTGATGGGGATTTCGAGAAAGGACATTGAATAACCCGGTAAGAGTTGTGCATACAATGCGTGCTCATTAGATGATGATGTTGCAATCCATCAACATTAGCGTGTGGACGCAAATGCATATATGCGGGTGCTTGTTGGGTAACAATTTCACTGAACATGACTCGATAAAAAATCTTAGCTGTAAGGTTTTAACTGTCGAATAAGAAATTTCAAATTTCATGTCACAATAGTACAATACTAATCCTCTAACTTGAGGCACGATAGTAATTTTGTTCATGTTGTGTTTTACTTTGATTTATCAGTTGATTGTTGGACAATCATAAAAGGGATATTTTGGGTATTGTATCAATGTGTATGGAGGTTTATCTGTGGCCAACAAAGAATTCGACACATATGAGGATAAGTGAATTTCCTATGTTCTTTATAGTTTGTGACTTGAAAGACCCTAGTCAAGGCTAGATATGAATTCATAAAGGAATCACTAAACTTGAGATTGAATCATAGTTATTAAATTAATTGGGTTTCGACTTGTAAATATATGCCCAAGATTTAATCAAAAATTAGTTATTGAAAGAGTTTTACATGTATGCACTTGCAATTGAAAAAGTATACTCGCTATTTCACTTAACACTAGATAATCATGCTACTTGCTAGGTGTTACCATGATTTGTGTGTTCTTGAAATTAATGAGTTAATTTCATGAATTTAAATTAATTAGATTTACTAGAATTACAAATGAGTTGTAAACTCACTACTGGTGTTAATCGTGAACCTAAAAGGGTCACACCAAATTTTGGATGATGACATTTTTGAAATTGGTATTTCCAAAAGTTGGATTAATACAAGAGTTGATTAAATAATTTAACTATTCAATTAAAATGTAATTTTGATTAGATGTCAATTAAAGGAAGATAATAAATTATTCAATATGATTGATTAGTTGGACTTTGGTTATTAATTAAGTAATTATTGGAATTACTAAATTAATAGTTGGATTTTAACGATGGACTTTACTATTAAAATCTACATATTAATATAATTATATAATAAAAGCCTGCAAAAGAGAGCAGATTTTATATTAATGAAAGATAAGATTTTGACCAACTAATTTTAAAGGTTAGTTTAATAAATTATATATAGGTCATTATCTTTAATTAATCTTAATTATGATTAAAAAATAAAAAATAAAAAGTTAGTGGGGACGGCTGGCTTAGGGCATACTTGTTTAAAAATTATTTCACTCACTTTCAATTCATCAATTTTGCTATGAAGCCAACGGTTGACTTCATAGTGGAGTCGACCTTCTATATACAACAATTAAATTATACCATATAATTATTAGAGTTTATTTAAATAATCAGAAAATATGGTATGGTTTACTTGTTGTATATAGAAGGTTGGCTCCACTATGGAGTCAATTGTTGGCTTATTGTTCATTTTATACTCAAAATCCAACTCAACTTTAACTCAACTCCACTATCTTTAATATTATTCATATAATTAAATAATATAATCCAATCATTTTTACACATCACATCAACCTTAATTTACTATTCAGTCATTCACATAATTTTAGCTACCTATCATTTCCAATTATTATTAATCATTTATTTCTTACTTTTACATCAAAACAGTTTTAATCATTTTACTTTAAATATTATTTTAATACATTTTTAAAATCCCACTAACACCTAACCATACTATCTTTTTTAAAATTAACTATGGTGAACGAAAATAACACATTTTAGATGGATTATTTTGTAAACAAGCGAGCCCTTAGCCGCCCCACCCCATGAGATGGAAATTGTCATATGTATATACATGATATGCATTAGTAACTAAAGTATAACTCTCCCAACCAAAAACATCAAAATGCTCCATCCAGAGAAAAAAAAAAATCTTCTCCTCTCTTAATCCATTTATTATACCAATTGAAACTCGGGACGCCTTGGAGTTGGAATTTAGAGGGTGGACTCGATTAGAAGGGGGACACGTGGATCCTTACGACGAGATGAACGAATATGGTGATAGCGACATACCTGGAAATCGATTATCTCTCCATTCGTCACTTTACGAAGAAAATTAATAGGTAATTTTTAAAATTATCTACAAATCAAAATTTATAATTTTACGAGATTTTAAAAAATGCCGATCGTTACAATTGCTACCTGAGCAAAGGGGTTTATTATTTATTTAATAAATACTTGTTTTATATCGTTTAATTTCCACTGGTTATTATATTACCCCGTACAGTATAGGGAACCCATCGATCAAGTACTTTATTAGTTTGAATGGATTTCAAGTCCACGTTGTGGTCAGAAAAGTAATTAATAGTTTCGTGTATAGTGTTGGTAGGTTTAGGAGTGAGTCCTCAACTTGTAATCACAAACTATATATCGTGTCGCGACCAATTTGCTAATGAAAGAGCTTCGAATGGTGGTGAGGCACTCCGTGAAGACGGATTTGTTTATTTGTCGCTTCCGCTTCTAATTTTTGTGTTAAAACACATTTTTGCGTCCTCTACATATTGCCCCACAAATTTTAACGGTTTGAGATTTTTCGACCGGATTGCAGCCCAATGATTTCTTGTGTCTGCTCACTTCCGTGAAGAACATAAAGCTTGTATATTTCTCTAGAATTTATTTTAACGTAATCCGTACTCTTTTGATGCCGGGAAACTTCACAGGCTTTCACTGACCATTTTTTTTTTTTTTTTTTTTTTTTTTTCCTGAAAAACACGTACGAGAGGTTACCTTTTATTACACTTCTATACTCCTTTACTACACTTCTATACACAATAATGGTGCTCGTTGATAATAATGAATGTAGAACCCAAAATGGGTTCACAAACAGCAAATGTGAAACCAATCATGATTGAGGTACTTCTTGCTACCAGTTGATGTAAAAGAGAAAAAGTGAGTATAACTACACATGGATAACTTATTTGCAATATTTGGGACCAACGGTTATATGCATTTTGCAATCAGGGATTACACAATTTTAGTCACGAGGTAAGGTTAGATTAGATGATTCAAAAGAGTGGATATTATTCTGGCCGAAGAACAACAACCCTTTAACATAAACTAACTAAAACCGATCCAAAAATAGTAGTTTTGGTTTGTCATTCATATTGCAAAATGAAACACATATTCTCGACAACACTACCTTCCGTGCAATCCTTACACGATCCATCCATAAAACCACGAGAAGTAACACCAAAACCTAATCAAGATCTACAATATTCTCATATATAATGAACACTATCATCAATCTTAATAAAATGTAGATAAAGGCTCAAATCTGTCTACCACCCGTCTTAACAAGCGGACTAAACGAACTATCGCACGCGCCAAACCCGTTCCCCTCAGGCAAATCCTCGACCAATCTCAACAATTTCTCGACAATCTCACCAGCGTTAGGCCTTAGAGCAATATCATCCTCCACGCACGATTTTGCGAGGCCAGCCAACATAAAAGCCGCATCAAACGAGTAATTCTCCCCCAAAGCACCATCAACCCACCCCCTCAACTCATCCTTCCCACCATCTGATCCCAACACGTGCTTAATCTCATCCGACAATTTTATCAAAATTCCGTCTTTGCCCTCGCCATCCCGTCTCACCGGAGGCTTCCCGGACAAAACCTCCAACAAAACCACTCCATAAGCGAAAACATCGACACCTGGCGAAATCGTGCCTTTCGATAAACACTCGGGAGCCAAGTACCCTTTTTTCCATATTTTTTCTTGGGATAAGGCTTCTTCATCCTCTGCTTCTGCTTTAGATTCATTGCACCTGGACATGCCTGGATTACCCACTTTCGCCCCAAATTCGCCATCAAGAAATATGTTGCGGCTCCTTATGCTCCCATGGACATAGCTAGGGTTCATCACGTGGTGCATATACTGCAAAGCCGTCGCCACGTCGAGACAGATTCTCAGCCGTTGATTCCAACTCAGAAAGCAGCTGCAGGACTCGATGAAATGGCTCTTGATTGCAAGCCCTCCGTGAATCCAGTCCTTGACGGACCCGTTCTCTGCGTATTCGAGGACAACGAACGAGTCCCGGCCGCCGGCGACGGAGCACGTGCCGAGAAGCCGGATCGTGTTCGGGGGATGCTGGTGGGGCCTTTCGTCGAGCACGTGGCGCTCGATCTCATTGATGAAATCGGGCCCGACCCGTTTTATCGCTAAATTTTTGCCCTTGAGGCGGCCGTGGAAGACGGAGCCTCCGATGAGGTTGCTCGGGCTGAAACCCTCGGTGGCCCTGTGGAGATCCTCGAGGGCGTAGGTCTCGAACGGCGCCGTTTTGTGAGGGGTGGTGGTCGTGTCGTCGAAATTGTACTGGGAGCTCTCGAACGAGATTTTCTTGTCGCTCGTTGTTCTCACACTCAGCCCCAGTCGACGGAGCTCCGGGTCGGAGTTCTTAATCGTGGGCTCCTCGGATTTTCGCTTCCGGATGTGGAGGAAGAAGACGGCGGCGAAAATGGCGGCGCAAGCCAGGAGTGCAGCCAAAGCGATTGCTATGTAGATCCCGATTTCCCTCATCTTCTGCCTTTCTCGCTTGTTTGAATTTTTGTCGCGAACGTTTTGCGTGGGGATGATTTGGGGATTTGGTAAGGTCTTGTTTTCCAATTCCAGTGGGAGCAAAAGGGTCGAAAATGGTGATAGAATGCCGTTTTCTGGTTTGTGAACTGATTTCGAGTATTTGGTGTGAGTCGAAATAATGATTTCTTGGGTGAGGTTGAATGTGGAAGACAATTGGAAGAGTGTATCACCTTCTTTCACAGGGTAAGATAGCAGCATAAGACTGGAATCTTGTGATTCAGCTGAAGAATAATTCGGGCATGCACATTTCAATGGGATTACTAAGAGATTATTCGATTTTTCAGCAACATCAGAAGGCGAAAAACCCGGGTTTCTCTCCTTAATGGCATCGCAAGTTGTTAGGCCCTTCAACGACTCTGCAATCTCGAAAAAGCTCTCGCCTTTAACGGTGGCCTTCTTGATTTCTGCTTCAAAAACTCGAGCTTTTTCGTTGCATTTACAGTCGAGTGGGATCAAAATCGGCCTGTTGTCTGTGAAAAACTTGTGATCGGGCGAAATGTTGTTATTAGCTTCGGCAAGTTCAGAAGGTGGGATGTTAAGATATGTATTGTTGGCTTCAAGTATAGCGTATGTTTTGCAATAATTCTGTTGATTAAGATGTTGATCACATGAAAAGAAGTGTGATGAAGATGTTGGGTCACAATCTTGGCTGCGTGCAGGTGAAGGTATGATGATCATAAGATGGAAGAAAAAAACAGGAAAAAATGGTGTGAATTTATTGAATTTTTCTGCTATCATGTTTGCAATCTGGAGAGGGATAATCAAGTTGTGCAGCAGTTCACATGGTAGACTTGTAGGCTTATTAGATCTGTATAACAGGTTGGCCTATATTTTATGGTGAGGAGCTTAGGGACAAGATTCTTGGATTTAGGAGTGACTAATAATATATAAGAGGTGGCTCAAAAAGGTATTCATAGATAATATAAACTCGAAAGAAGTTCAAAATTACAAGGGGGGAGGACAAATAGTTAAGCACATGGAAGTTTTATTTTATTCTCTCAGATAACACAAAATATTTTAGGTTGATTTTTCTTTTGCAATTCTCCAAAAACTTGTGGTATTGATTTTGGTTGGTGGGCAAAAATCTCTTGTGCTTTGGGTCATGGGGTGGCTAATTATCCCTAGGTTCATATATAAATATTCTGTGAACTCTGATTCAATCACTTGGAAAAAAAAAAAAATCTTGATTTCTACATTAAATCTTCAATTTTATATGTTTGTGTGTGTGTGAGAGAGAGAGAGAGATTGAACATTCAGCACTGGACTGAAAGTTGTGTAGTTTGATGACGACTTTGAGATTTGTTCGTTCCCAAATCCTAGTTAATACATGAAAATTGGAATACAGTTTGGTAATCACGTGCTACTGTTCTTTAATAAACTAATTATTCATATAACAAAATGTATTTCATGAAATCAGTTGCTTTGCAGTGTGAACTTATCGGTGTAAACGAAGTTTGATAAATGAGAAACATTTCATGTGATGCATGACACAACCAACAGTGAATATTACACTAAATCACTTAATTACAACTTAGTACTCTCTCCATTTTGAAATATAAGGCATTTAAGGTTATTGCACAAATATTAAGGAGACATTAATTAATGAATAAATTGACTAAATTAACCTTATTTACTCTAATCACAACCACTCCACACTTCTTTAATTTCAACACAATGAGGGTATATTTGGAAAAAAATGCAAAAATTTGTCTTGATTTTTGAGCGCGCCTTATATTTCAAAAAAAATAAGAAATCTTTATACGTCTTATATTTCAAAATGGAGGGAGTATAAGTTACCTATCCACTAACAATACAAAGACACCTATTTATTACAAGTTATAGCCATAGATATAATAATATTAGGACAACAACGCGGTCGTGTGTATAGACAAAATGAATGGTGCCTATCATAACTTTCAATTTTTAATTAGCTATACTATCCCCTACCAATTATTAATTATGTAGGAAATATCAAATATATGTTGGAATGTTTTGTTTGGAATTTTCATCTTCAATTGTTATACAATACTCAAGTATCTTGAAAAGTAAAGAAATTTATGTAAGCTGTAAAGATCGTTGGTATATATCTTGACATTAAGCATCCATATATTTTTTTAAATAGAAATTATTATATTTTTATGATGTATCATCATATTAATTAAAGTTATTATTTATAATCCTTGTAAAAAGAATATAATGTGTAATATATTTAATCAATAAGATCACAATTACACTACGTACTAACGGTGAAAAATGAAGTCTATTTTAGTGATGCACATTTGGGATACGAAGTTCGAGAACAAATGAAAGACCATAATAAAGTAAGGCTAATGATGCACCACCCGGCTTTCCTCGTGAATCCGTGATATACATAAATAAAGGGCTTATTAAATTTCTGTTTTTGTCTCATATATTGAACAATTTTTCGTTATGTGGAGGATTCATGAAGTTGGTCTTCATTGACACGAACAAAGAAAGTAGAGATGCGAGAAAGAAAAAATAAAAAATAAAAATACGTTACTTCTTTTATGCAATATCCTGGATATATTAAATAAACTTTTCAAATATTAGACTTCATGGTCAAAGGAAGAGGACAAATCGTATTTTCCCAATGGTTCCCTCTTCTTGTATTTGTAGTTTGGAGAAAATAACTAGATTTGTTTATATCTTAGCGGATTGAACCTCATTTAAAACATTAATCAATCAAGTTGACTAATTAGCTTTTGTTTGACTATTTTTTTTGGCCCAAAATCTTAATTTAAAAAAAAAAGCTAAAAAAAACGTTTTAAAAATATAAGATTGAAAAAAAACGTAACAACTTAAAATTCTTTATATATTATTTACTTTATGCTTATTCAATAAACTTATAATTGAATCCGCTAATCAATCAGTTCATACAATGATCTATATATTATTCCCTTATACATGACTAGTACAATACTCGTGTATTACATATATACTTATTAAAAAAAATTAATTTAGATTTAAAATAATAACAAAAAAATTGTTTTAATTGTCAACTATGTTTTTAAAAAACTATATTACTATTTATAGTTAAAATGACACTCATCACTTACTTATCATCTTACATTATCATATTTTTTTAACTCATATCATATAACAGCTTTGTAGTTGAACTAATTTAAATAATTTAAATTTTTTGAATTAATATTAATAGGTAAATTATTTTTTATTAGGAGGATAAATATAATTTTTTATTTATATTGTATGCACAATGGAGTGTCAAATCGAAACTCGTCAAGGCACGAATGATTTGATATATAATATTTAAAAAAAACTAAAAATAACTAAAAATTGATTAACTCTTAAATCTACTTAGTAGATATTCTAAGTTAGTAATTTTTTTATAATTTTAAAAGAAAGATTGAAAAAAAATATGTTTATAAATCACGTCAAGAATAGGAAATGTAACATGACTAATGCTCTTAAAAATGATCATAAATATCTAGTATATTTATGGATATTGCAGGTCCAGTTATTTTTGAATTCAAAGTAAACTAAAATTCATTCAGGTTTGTCACATTTGACCTCGAAACATATGAATCTGTTATTTAAGCTCAACACATTCGAGAATTATATATACAGTAGATTGTACAACGTCAATTAGCTATCTATCATCAACTGATCAACAAATAATTAAATAGTCAAAGTGAATATTAAATTTCCTTGAAATGTGCAAATAAGGAATGACAAAATATCATGCTCCTTTCTAAATATTAATGACTGCCTTTACGAAGCTCATATCGCATCACAAACATCACAAACATCTCATGGGCCATATTATGGCATGCATATAACACCATGACATAACATTAAATAAATTTCGAAAGTTACATGAACAAACATAAATGAATAATTCATGGGTATAGAATAACCAAAGGATACATTGGACAGAGTGGGTAAACTTACAAGAGATAAAAGCCAAGGGGATTTGAGGTTTAGGAACTTAGTTGATTTCAATGAAGTCCTCCTAGTTAAACAACTGTGGAGGATTTCTACTAATCCAAATCTTCTGGTTAGTAAAGTTATGAGGGACATGTACTTCTGGAAATCCAACATCATGGATATCAATCCCAAAGCTTCTGATTCCTGGTTATGGAAAAGCTGGCTGAGTGCCAGGAAATCATTGAAATTAGGAGCTAGATTTAGGGTAGGGGATGGGCAGTCTATTGCTATATGGGACTCTCCTTGGATTCCAAGGGCCCCACATTTTAAACCAACTTGCCACTTTAGTGAGGATAGAAACAGGTTTATTAAGGTTTGTGATCTATTTATGGAGGGTGAAAGAAAATGGGACAGTGAGCTTATTACCCAAACCTTTGAACCTAAGGATGCTTCTAAAATCCTCAGTATACCTCTCTCAGAGCACAGCAGTTCAGATAGACTTATGTGGCATTGGAACCCCAAGGGACAATTTTCAGTCAAAGAAGTGTACAAAACTATTCAAACGGCTGCTCACAACAAGCAGGAGAGACCATTCACAAGCATGGACCCCAAAGCAGTCATCAAAATGTGGAAAACAACCTGGCAGCTTCCAATAAAACCCAAAGTGAAGAAGTTCCTTTGGAGATACTGGTTTGAATACATGAGTACAAGTTCTCAACCGGTGAAGAAAGAAGTGGATGTTGATGTTATCTTCTCTGTTTGTGGGGAGGTTAGTAAAGATTTAAATCATATTCTGTTTAATTGCACTAGAGCACAGAAATGCTGGAAGTTATGTGAAGTGCTGTGGGAAGAAATGGAAGCAGGTGCTGTGAATTTTCAAACATGGTGGTTGAAGTTATATAATGCTGAGAATTTGAGACTCAAGAAGAAAGGTTAAGTATATCAGCATTCTTATTGTGGCATGTATGGAAAGCCAGGAACAAATGGATGTTCAAAGGGGATTGGATCCATGAAAAGAAAATTGTAGAGGATGCTAAGCTGGAGTGGTCAGAGTGGATTGCTAGGGCTGCTTCTAATCAGGTCAGATCATACCATCTTCATCATGATAGATTTTCCAAGGCAGTAGGACATTTAGTTATGAATGTTAGAGTTGCATTATCTGATGATGGTGGAATCAATGTGAGCTGCTTGATAGATACTAGAGATTCCTCACCCAACCAATGGCAAGAGAAGATTGAGCAGATATGTACTCAGGAGGAAGCAATAATCTATGCTATCAGATGGAGCCTGAGGAGAGCCAAACAGGTTGGATTTCACATGTTTGCTGGATTCTCAAGCCATGGTGGATGCTATCAACAGAAAAGCCGGATTTCAAGGGGTGGAGAGCTCAGTTATGGAAGAAATATTTGATCTAATATCTGTGTGTAATGTTTCCTTTGCTTATAGTTTTTAACTGTTGTTGTTTTGAGGCTGGGTGGCCTTTGCTTATAGTTGGTAGGGCCCGGTGGGCCGTGTGTGATGGCACCACAACAAAATTTTGGACCGATAGGTGGCTGCCGACCGGCAATACCTTAATGCATGTAGCTACTGGGGAGATCCCTTCGGAATTTATCGGCAGGAACGTCACGTTTTTCGTCTCGGAGATGGGCGTATGGCGTTGGCACTTGTTTGCCCACTTGTTGTCGGCATCCATATTACTTCAAATTGAAGCGACCCCGACGCCGAGAGTTGAGCTTGGTCGGATCGTCTTTTTTGGGGCCTTTCGTCCACAG